ATCAAACAACATTTGGATTGTCAAGGCCTGATTAGGGATAGGCAGCATGGATTTGTGCACAGGAAGTCATGATTGACAAATCTTTGTGTCTTTTGAAGAGGATTCCAAGAGTACGGATGAGGATAGGGCGGTGGATGTTGCCTATATGAACTTTAGTAAGGCCTTTGACAAGGTCCCGCATGGCAGGCTAGTCATGAAAGTTAGGTTGCATGGGATCCAGGGAGAGCTAGCTAATTGGATTCCAAATTAGCTCGGAGGTAGGAAGCAGAGGGGGATGGTTGGATGCTATTTCTCGGACTGGAGGCCTATGACTAATGGAGTGCCACAGGGGTTGATGCTGGGGCCTTTGTTATTTGTTATTTATGTAAATGATCTGGACGTTAATGTACAAGGCAAGTTTGCGGATGATACAAAATTAGGAGGTATCGTTGAAAGTGAAGAAGATGATCAAAAATTACAGAGGGCCCTTGAACACATGAGGAAGTGGGCTGAGAATTGGCAAATGCAATTCAATACGGATAAGCATGAGGTGTTGCATTTTGGAAAGTCAAACCAAGGCAGGACTTATACAGTAAATGGTAAGGTCCTGAGTAGTGTTGTGAAGTACAGTGCATTGAAGCAGTGTCACAGGTGGGCAGGATGGTGAATGAGGCATTTAGCATGCTGGTCATCATTGGTCGAGGCATTGAGTATAGGAGTTGGGATGTCATGTTACAGTTGTATAAGTTGTTGGCCACACTCAGAGTATTGTGTACAGTTTGGCCACCCTGTTATAGGAAAGACATAGTTAACTGGAAAGTGTGCAAAGAAGATTTATGAGGATGTTGCCAGGACTAATTTTTGGGAGAGGTTGGCCAGCATAGGACTTTATGGAGAAAGAGGTGTGATCTTATTGACATGTATAAAATCATGAGGGGCATAGATAGGATGAATGCATATCGTCTTTTTCCCAGGAACGGGGAATTGAAATCTAGGTGAGAGGGGATAGATTTGAGACGGAGCTGAGGGTCAACTTCTTCACGCAGAGAGTGGTGCGTGTATGAAGTGGGGTGCCAGAGAAAGTGGTTAAGGCAGGTTGACAGGGGGTGGGGAACCGGATTTATAATTCAGAGGATGAAGTATTCAGCCTTCCAACGGACACAACAGGGAGTGAGATTGTTTTTAAAGAAATGCAGTCGATGCAGCGTAATTGTGGACACAGAAATGGTTTGAGGTGTGTATACTTCAATGCTAGAAGTATCAGAAATAAGGCAGATGAACTTAGAGCATGGGTCGGAACTTGGAACTACGATGTTGTGGCCATTACAGAAACTTGGGTAACTCGGGGAGAGGAATGGTTGTTGGAAGTTCCGGGATTTAGATGCTTTAAAAGAAATAGGGAGAGTGGAGAAAGAGGCGGGGGAGTGGCATTGCTAGTCGGGGATAGTATAGCAGCTACTGAAAGGCAGTCCGAGAATGATATGTCTACAGAGTCAGTTTGGGTTGAGGTCCAGAACAAGAAAGAAGCAGTCACTTTGTTGGGTTTTTTTTTACAGACCTCCTAATAGTTGCAGAGAGCGGATTGGGAGGCAGATACTGGAAAGGTGCAGAAGTCACAGGATTGTAGTCACGGATGACTTCAGCTTTCCAAATATTGATTGGAAACATTTTAGTTGTAATAGTTTAGATGGAGCGGATTTTGTCCAGTGTGTTCAGGAAGGATTCCTGACACAGTATGTAGATAGACCAACACGAGGAGAGGCCACTTTGGATTTGGTGCTTGGCAATGAACCAGGCGAAGTGTTAGACCTGTTGGTAGGAGAGCATTTTGGCGGTAGCGATCATAACTCTGTTACTTTTACAATAGTCATGGAAAAGGATAGGTACATACAGCAGGGTAAAGTTTATAATTGGGAGAAGGGTAATTACAATTCTGTTAGGCAAGAACTGGGTAACATAAATTGGGAACAGATGCCGTCAGGGAAGAGGACTATTGAAATGTGGAGATTGTTTAAGGAATGCTACTGCATGTGCTCAATATGTTTGTCCGTAGCAGTTAGGGAAGATGCAGTCGAGTGAGAGAGCCTTGGTTCTCAAGAGAGGTTGAACGACTGGTTAAAGAGGAAGAAGGATGCTTATGTAAGGTTTAGGAAACAAGGGACTGAAAAGGCTCTAAAGAGATACAAGTTATCCAGGAAGGAGCTGAAGAAAGAGCTTAGGAGAGCTATAAGGGGGCGGGAGAAAACCTTGGCAGATAGGATCAAGGAAAACTCCAAGGCTTTTTACACGTACGTGTGGAATAAGAGAATGACCAGAGAAAGGGTAAGGCCGATTAAGGATTGTAAAGGAAATTTGTGCACGAAGCCTAAAGAGATAGGAGAGGTCCTTAATGAATACTTTTCTTTGGTATTCACAACTGAGAGGGACCTAGTTGTAGAGGAGGACAGTGTGAAACAGGCTGGTAGGCTAGAGGAGGTCAATGTTAGTAAGGAAGATGTGCTAGAAATTTTGAGGAAGTTGAAGATAGATAAGTCCCCCGGGCCTGATGGGATTTATCCAAGGATTCTATGGGAAGTGAGGGAAGAGATTGCAGGGCCTTTGGCGATGATCTTTTCGTCTTCACTGTCCACGGGTATAGTGCCGGAAGATTGGAGAGAGGCCTTGTTCAAAAAAGGGAAGAGGGATAACCCCGGAAATTACAGGCCAGTTAGACTTACATCACTGGTGAGGAAATTATTGGAAAGGGCTCTGAGAGATAGGATTTATGATCACTTGGAAAGGCACAGTTGATTCGTGATAGTCAGCATGGATTTGTTAGGAGTACATCATGCCTCACAAACCTTATTGAATTCTTTGAAGAGGTGACCAAACATGTGGATGAAGGTAGAGCAGTGGATGTGGATTTAAGTAAGGCGTTTGATAAGGTTCCCCATGGTCGGCTCATGCAAAAGGTAAGGAGGCATGGGATAGGGGGATATGTGGCAGATTGGATTCAGAATTGGTTGACCCTTAGAAGACAAAGGGTGGTAGTGGACGGAAAATATTCAACATGGTGCTCAGTTATGAGTGGTGTACCACAAGGATCTGTCCTGGTTCCTCTTCTATTTGTGATTTTTGTAAATGATTTGGATGAAGGAGTGGAAGGGTGGATTAGCAAGTTTGCGGACGATACGAAGGTGGGTCGCGTTGTGAACAATGCGGAGGGCTGTTCTAGGTTACAAAGGGACATTGATAGGATGCAGAGCTGGGCTGAGAAGTGGCAGATGGAGTTTAACCCTGAAAAGTGTGAGGTGATTCATTTTGGAAGGACAAACTTGAAAGCAGAATACAGAGTTAATGGAAAGATTCTTGGCAGTGTGGAGGAGCAGAGGGATCTTGGGGTGCATGTTCACAGTTCCCTGAAAGCTGCCACCCAGGTGGATAGAGTTGTTAAGAAGGCGTATGGTGTGTTAGCTTTCATGAATAGAGGGATTGAGTTCAAGAGCCGTGAAGTTATGCTCCAGCTATACAAAAGCCTGGTTCGGCCACAATTGGAGTATTGTGTCCAGTTCTGGTCACCTCATTACAGGAAAGATGTGGAAGCGTTGGAAAAGGTGCAGAGGAGATTTACCAGGATGTTGCCTGGAATGGAGGGAAGGTCTTACAAGGAAAGGTTGAGAGAGCTGGAGCTTTTCTCTTTAGAACGACGAAGGATGAGAGGTGACTTGGTAGAGGTGTACAAATTGATCAGAGGTATAGATAGAGTAGACATCCAGAAACTTTTTCCTTGGGTGGAGGTAGCTATTACGAGGAGCATAGTTTTAAGGTGAGTGGAGGTAGATATAGGGGAGACATCAGAGGTAGGTTCTTTACTCAGAGAGTGGTAGAGGCGTGGAATGCATTGCTGGAGAGGGTAGTGGAGTCGCCCTAATTAGGGGCATTTAAGCGACTATTAGATAGACATATGGATGATAGTATAAGCTAGGGGTGGAGGTTAGATAGACCTTCGGCTTAGGGTAAAAGTTAGGCGCAACATCGTGAGTCGAAGGGCCTGGACTGTGCTGTTCTATTCTGTGTTCTATGGCAGGTACAACAGCAACATTTTAAAAAAACAATTTGGATAGGTACATGGATAAGAAGGGTTGAGGGGGATACGGACCAAAAGCAGGCAATTGGAGCTAGCTCAGTGAGCACCATGGGCAGCATGGACCAGTTTGGGCCGAAGGGCCTGTTTCCATGCTGTAATAGTCTATGAATCTATGACTGTAGTTGTTTCAGTAATTTCCCTCCATACGCAATCTCTCATCCTCTCTCTCACTCACACGTGTGCATACACGTACCAATCTATGGGGTGAATTTGCATTTGCAGATTTGTAATTGCAGATATATTCTATTTTATTCAAAAAGCACACAGTTTGTAGACAGGCACTCAATGTGGCATTCTATAAATTCCTACTTTGGAAATGAAACCGGTCTAACTCCAGATTAAAACACAGACAGATTCTAAACATGGCCTCACGCCTAAAATGCATTGTCTGACCTGAGCTGTCACCTCTGGTGTATTGACAAAACCTTTAGATGTCTCAGGGCATTGACTTGAAAGAAATTCTGGAATTTGCATATTAATCAAAACCTGCATCTCCTTTCTAACTGATTAAAAATTCAACAGTCATTTTAGTTCAATGCATTCACATCAGCTCTATCAACCTTTGTTCTTTTGCTCATAAATTCTGTGTCTGATGCCATCTCCCTCATTAACAACTGAAGGAGTGAGCCTCTGAAAGCTGAAAGCTCGGATAAACCTGTCAGACTATAACCTGGTGCCGTGTGATTTTTGACCTCATCCATCCCAGTCCAACACTGGCACCTCCATATCATGACTCTTTAACTCACTACCTCTCTCTTCCCACTCTCTTTCTCTTTTCTCTCCACCTCTCTCTATCTGTCCACATACCCTCTTTCTTTCTCTCCCTCATGCCACTCGCTATTTTTCTCTCTCTCTCTCTCTCTGATTTTAAATGTCTCTCATTCTTGTTTTCCAGGGCCTTTCTCTATCTCAATGATGAATTTGAAGGAGGGGAATTTTACTTTGCAGATCGTGGAGGCAAGAGAGTTTCAGTAAGTGACCCCGCATGCTCAGAGAGAACTTTACCCTGTATCTAACCCCATACCGTTCCTGTCCTGAGAGTGTTTGATGGGGGACAGTGTAGATGGACCTTTACTCTGTATCTAACGGTGTCTGAGGGAGTGGACAGGAGGGTGCAGACTCTAACATCTGGTCCCTCTGTCTCAGGAGGAGATCTCCCCAAAGTGTGGCCGACTGGTCGTGTTCCTGTCTGGACAAGAGAATGCGCACTCTGTCCGCCCGGTGACAGAAGGGCAGCGCTGTGCCCTCACCTTCAGTTTCACTGAGAAAACCCAACATGAACAGGAGGTCTGTATATACCAAGTTTGCCTCTTCCTCTGTCTCCATCTTTCTGTTTCTCTCTGTCTTTATTTCTCATTCTCTCTTTCTGTCTGTCCCTCTCTTGCTGTCTCTCTTTCTGTCTCGTTCTCTCTGTCTGTCACATTTTTTTTTAATCTGACACTCACTCTCTCACTCTCTTGGTCTCTTGAATTCTCTTTCTCTCTGTCTCAGCTTTTCTCTGATTCTCTCCCTCTCTTTCTCTCTTCCCCCCCACCGCCTGCCTCTCTCTCTCTCACTGTAACACACTCTCTCTGTGTCGTTCTCTCTGTCTGTCCCTCTCTCTGATACTCGCTCTCTCAGTCTCTCTTTCTGACACTCTTTCTGTCTACCTCTCTCTCTGTCTCCGTCTGTCCCTGTCTCCAGCCTGCTTCTCTTCCCCATCCCCTCTCTCTGACACCCTCTGTAACACTCTTTTTCTCTCTTCCACCTCTCTCTCTCTCTCACTGTAACACATACTCTTTCTCATTTTCGTTCTCTCTGTATCCCTTTCTCTTTCTCTCTCTCCTCTCTCTCACTCATTCTCTTTCTCTCTGACACATTTTCCCTCCTTCCTCCCTCTCTCCCTCTGTCGCCCCTCTCTCTCTCTCTCCCCCTCTGCTCCACCTCTCTCTCTCTCCCCCTCTCCCCCACCTCTCTCTCTCCTGCCGTCTGTCTCTATTTCCCTCTCTCTCGCGTGTTCTCTCTCTCTCTCTACCCCCTCGCTCTCCCTCCTACCCCTCTCTCCCCCGCTCACTCTCGCTTTCTTTCACTGTAACACTCCCTCCGTCTGTCTCTCTCAGGTGAATCCCAGTGTGGACAGTTTACTGGAGTTGCTGTACCCGGCATCCTCCACCCTTGGTGAGCCTGAACAGGCACCGGGCCCTGCACTCCATGACCGGGAGTCCCCTGAGCAGCGGGAGAGAGCCCACACGCAGACGCGACAAGCCCGGGACGGGAGGCAGCGGCAGTACAAGAGACCCCGGCCCACGGCAGGGGCAGAGAGTCCTGCTCTCAGGGACGAGCTCTGAGTCTGGATTGGAGGGTGCGTGTGTGTGGCGTGTGTGTGTTTGGGGGGGGGGTAGTTGTGGGGGGGGGGTTGGGGGCATGGGGGTGTGTGATGTCCGTGCTTTCAGGAGCAGATGGGATGGCGTCAGGAATTCACCAGTGAGTTCGACTGACGTGGGAAAGGGGTGTGTGTGTGTTTGTCTGTCCCAGCAGTAGAGAGAGAGAGAGAGAGAGAGAGGTGATTTGACGGCCCCCCTGTCCGAATAGTTAGCCACCGCTGGCCGGTTGCAGGTGATGCTGGGATGTTGTGTTTGGGCATATGGGTGGGAGGTTGGGGGGTGCGGGGCTGAGAAGGGACGTGTTACTGCTATCCCACTGCTGAATATACAAGCAGTCTCTCTCACACTCCCATAGCTACAGGCATCTCCCACAAACACACCGCTGATTCATTACAGGCAGTCTCTCACATACATACCCCATATAGGCATCTCATACACCCATACAGGCAGTTTCTCACACAGATATAGACATGGCTCACATCCATGCAGGCGGTCTCCCCAACACACTACATACATACAGATGTCTCACAGGCAGTCACACACTCCCATGCCTATAGGCCTGTCTCACACCCATACATGTGGTGACTCCCCATGCATACACACTCCACATATATCCAGGCAGTCTCTCACATCCCCCCTACATGCAGGCATCTCATACTCACACCCATACAGGCGGCCTGACGCACACTCCCCATACATGCAGGCATTTCTCGCGCACGTACCCTTACGTACAGGTGGTCTCTCTCGCTCCCATGCATACAGTCGGTGTCTCACACCCATACAGATAGTCACACACATGCAGGCAACTCACTCACTCCCCATACTTACAGGCATTTCATACACACACACACACACACACACACACACACACACACACACAGCCATCTCACACAATCCCATGTATACAGGCAGTCTCACACACATTCCCCACGCAGGCTCTCATACACACTGCCATACATATAGGTATCTCACATAACCATGCAGGCGGTCACACACACTCTTCATACATACAGATATCTCTCAGACCCATACAGATGGTCTCTCACTCACTCCCCATATATACACATGTCTCACACATCCAGACAGGTGGTCACACAAGCACATACTGATGTCTAACACACACCCATACAGGTGGTGTCTCACACACTTCCCATACATATTGGAATCTCTTACACCAATACAGGTGATCACACACGCACACTCCCATCCATACAGGCATGTCACACACCCATGCAAGCGGTCTCTCTCACACACTCCATACATACAGGTGTCTCTCACAACCATACACGTGGGCTTTCACACACATATCGATACACACACATAGGCATCCCACACACCCATACAAGTGGTCTCTTACACATACATACTGATGTCTCACACCCATACATAGGTGTGCCTCATACATATGTGCAGGTGGTCTCTCAAACACCCATATGTGCATCTCTCACACCGATGGGGACACCCATGCAGACAGGTGCGCACACCCCAATAAATACAAGCAGTCTTATGCATGTTCCCCATACAGGTATCTCTCACACCCACACATGTGGTCACACACACACACACCTCCCTGTACAGGTGATCTTTCACACACCCATACAGCTGCTCTCTCTCTCTTTCTCACACTCACACACGCACACACACACACGTACACGTACTCCTACAAACAGTCTCTCTCTCACACACTCACACAGGTGTACTCAAACACATTCACTCCATGAGGCAGTCCCACCCACCCCTACGTGGACAGTCAGGTGCATACACACTGTCAGACAGACACAGTCAAACATATTCACACATGCACATTGTTACAGACATTCACACCTATGCACAACAATGCACACATTCAGATGCTTGCACACCCCTACACATGCATGCATACATACACAGAATACAGGCACATGCCAACAACCTCACATGCCCACACAATGTCACACAAACCCACAAGAGCAACAGACTACATGTACTAAGAAATAATCCTGTGACAGCCCTGGGAATATGATGGGAATGCTCCCTTTAAGCATGTATAGCTGAGTCATTGCAGTGTTAAATATTTTTATGCAGCAAATATATCTTCATTTGTTGTTCACTGAGTCAACTTCCTTCATGTATTTAATCCAGTATCACACTGACAATGTTCTCCCACTTTATACACAGTGTCAGCATTGAGCGTTCTCAGGAACAAGGACAATATAGAGCTACCTCTACATGACCATGACAGCATAGCCTACTCCACCTTCTTTATAGCCAGTATCAGAATTGAGCATTCTCAGGGACAATACAGAGCTCCCTCTCCATCACCATGATGGTGTTGCCTATTCCTTCCCAACAATTTATACCCAGAGTCAGCATGGAGTACTCCCAGGGACAGGAGCAATGCAGAGTTCTCTGTACATCACCATAATGATGTATCCTAATTCCCCCACTCCCCCCACCCCTCACTTTATACCTAGTGATGGGGTGTTGGGGTTGGAGGAGGTGACAGCGTACTTTTAAGAGACAGTGATCATTTAGAAAGACTGTGGGAAATGATTTTGCTTATTCCTGAGAGCAAACAATTAATGCAGTGGAGCTGGTTGTAACTAAAATTTGGCAGTGCAAAACCATTCCTGAGTAATAGCCTTCAAAAAGCAGGTCAACCGAGACACAGTACCTCAAATGGGAATGGGAGGACCAACAAAGGCCGAGTCTCCTGGATGGCCATGGATACAGAAATTAAGATCAAGAAGTGAAAGTGTGCTTTTGGCCAAAAGAAAGACTGGTGGAGAAAGGAGAGGAAGGTAGTGGGGAGGGGTGAAAGCAAATGCAAGAAGTAAAGAGGGATTACAAGAAAAGACTGGCAGCTAAGATAAACAGGAATCTCAGATTGTCCAGTTTAACGTCAGAGCTTGGGAATCTCCAATTATTCAGGATAGAATTCTGTAGACCAAAAATGATTAGGGAGACTTAGCAGTGATTTTTAAAGGCAGAACTTGTGCCAAGCTAAGCAGCACCAGGTTTTGAAAAGCCTGTCAATGAGAATGGGACTGTGGATACAGTGCATACAGACTCTAGAAGGCGTTTGATGCAGTGCCACGTGAAAGACTTCCACAGTAAGTGACTGATGTGAAATTAGAAAGAGATCAGTACAAAGGAAGGAAGCCAGCAGTAAATAAAGCACACAGCACCCTCGGCTTTATTAATCGGGACATGGAGTACAAGAGGAAGGGAAATAAAGCTCTCGGCATCCTCAGCTCACTAATAGGGACATAAACTACAAGAGGAAGGATAATAAAGCATGAGGCACCATTGGCTTTATCAATAATGGCGTAGAGTACAAGAGGAAGGGTATTTAAGGCACGCGCACCCTCCGCTTTATTAATAGGGGTGTGGAAAACAAGAGGAGGAGAAATAAAGTGTGCGTGTATATCTGTCTCTGTCTGCTTTTGTGTGTATGTTTGCGTGTGTGTCCATTTCTCTCTGTCTACGCCAACCTGTCCCCGTGTTTGTATCTTTGTTTCTCTCTCTCTCTCTGTAGACATGACTATCTCTGCATTATTTCCCTCCTCTGTTAGTATATCTGTCTTCCCTGTCTGTGTATGTGTATCTTTGTCTGTCGGTGTTTGTATGCATGCACCTCTCTCTGTCTTTGCCTTTGCTTGCCCCTGTGTGTGCATCATCCCTCTCACTGTGTGTCAATTACTGCATCCTTCCTTCTCTCTGTATTTTTGTGTATATCTGTCTTCCCTGTTTTCATATATCTACGTAGTTGTCTCTCTCTTTCTGACTCTGTCTCTCTTTCTCTGTCTTTGACATTGGTGAGACTACTTTTGGAGTATTGTGTACAGTTCTGGGTCGCCCTGCTGTAGGAAGGATATTATTAAATTGAAGTGAGAGAGCGAGAGACATACAAGGCGAGAGAGAGATTAATGAAAAATTATACTTAACACCAAAAGCACAGCAAAGATCCCTCGACTTGCATAATGTTATAATTTACCTGCGCAGCAACTGATGTTAAGCACAGAAGGGACAAGAAAGGTATAAAACTACCTCAGAACTGTCCCAGTGTTTCCATTTGACAGGGGTGCTTGAGGGCGGCTATGCATTGCTCTAGTGACAAGGACAAAGCACCCTATCCTCAGGCCCAGAAACTCTGACTCCCTCTCTCTGTAGTTACGCTTCGGTCTTTTACTGATTCCGGCGGATAACGGAAATTGATGGAAACAAAGCCAAGAATTTTTGTAACGGGTTCCTTTCACTCACTGACTTCCAAAATCTTCCCATATTACCAGTGTTTCCCCTTATATTAAGCCCAGAAAACGGGAACACTTTTTAAATGACATCCAGGGCAAGTGCTTTCTGAGTGCGAGACAACAAGGTGCAGGGCTGGATGAACACAGCAGGCCAAGCAGCATCATAGGAGCAGAGAGGCTGAC